CACTGTAGCTTCTGAAAATCGATAACCGATAACGATTTACCAAGATCCGCGAGCAGCGCATGCCATGCTTGGGCGATGTTAAAAGTCGCTTGTCATACTATGATCGGAATACAAAAACTAAGAAGGGGGAACACAATGATAATACTGCCGCCGGGGCGATGATTTTAATCACCCGACACATATGGATTCCGAATTTGCGTATATTTATCATTTACTTTGTGCAGTCAAAACTCGCAATCAATTATTTCAATTTGATATTTTTTTCCAAAAATATATACTGGAATTATTAAGTTTTTAATCATGGATTCATCCACACATAAAATTTTTATTAAATTAATTTAATTAAATAACCATTATTAATATTATTTGTGTTCGATACCTACTTTCCATAAATAAGCAATTTTATATCGCCCTCTCACTTTCAAAGCATACGAGCCGCCACTGATTATTTCACTAGGTGTATTTATTTTAAATCAAAATCATGATTTAATTCACTTATGAAACATCTATTACCTACTTGATGTTAGTAAAATATTAATTTTTTTTCTTTAATTCGTTTATTTTATTTAAAAAACAGTCAAGGAAAATCCATAACAAATATAGTATAATAATTAATAATTAGTAAATTAATAACTGTTAGAAATTATAAGATACTAAATTTAGACTGACCATGATTAGATTTGCATTCCGCTTCACAAGTAATTTGTACTTCGTAGGTTATAGAACAGAATATTCTTATGCCATTTTTATAATGTTAAAATGTTCGGCATAAAACAATGAGTCGATAATTTTTGTAATGGTGACTGGTGAGGATAGTCGAAGTGACATTATAATAAAATTTAAAGGTCATATAGGTAACAGCGATTAATCGAACTCCTATACGTCAATGAACCGTCGTTTTGGACACAATAAAGATTATCACAATATTGAGTCATCATCATAATATATTTTACTAGGTTATCCATTAAACTGGCTGAAAATTTTTTTCATAGTTTATAAATATTGTTTAAAATAATACTAATGAGTAATGACTAATCAGTATAGTTCATAGTATTCTAAGTACACGTACACCGGTACACCAAAACATTACAGTTAAAAAATATGATTAACCAAAGCAATAAGTATTGTTTAATTTAATGATTTAAACCCCAACCAAAAATTGGAGTTTTATAGTAGATATTTACTATTTAGTATAAGAAATTGAAACAAACAGAATATTTTAATATAATTCAGTGTTTAGCTTATAGTTGAATGGAATAAAATTACAGTGAGTGATCCACTCAACAATTTTTTCAAAGACAATATAATAACAAAATAAATTAAATTGTTAAAAAAGCAAAGCTAAAAATTAAATATATCATATTATAGTATATAAATAATAAATATCATTATAATAATATTAAACATCTTTGAGTAGTATAAACAAAAAGTCGTATAAATGTAAACTTTTCTTTACGATCATCAAAATTATGAAAATATAATAATTACTGCAGGTATGGACGTATGGTATACTTGTCATCATCAAAACATCACACGATTTATGTTTCAAACTAGTTTTGTAGGAGCGATTTTAATAAATAAATCGTATAGTTTAAGGTCATTGACGTACTCGAGTGTCTCTATTATTGTAATGTAAAATATAAATGTGTTACGCAGAAAATCAAGTAAAATAATTTATCGCATTCTTGGGCGATTGGAACAAACATTATTCAAACATTTTCTATATTAAAATCATAAGCATTCTAACAGACTACCAATGAAATATTTCTTAACTACCGTTTACTACTACGTTTAAGTTGAATCCCATTCCGAAAAAAAATTGATATCTAAATTTAGCTTCCGATATCTTGGTGACAAAATAATTAATTACTACAGATTTTCCATATAACATAGACCTTTGGGCTTAAAAACAAGAAACGTACATTTTTTCAAAAACAAGTGAATACATTCCAAAATATGAAACATTTTTGAGTTTAAGTTTTACAATGTAAATAATTTTATTTGAATAATATATTAAATTAGATTTTATTTTATTTATTTATTTATTAATACTTAAATAAAATATCTTAATTATATTATTAATTTCTTTGAAAGTATTAATTTTAAAAATAAACTAATTTTAATTTAAAATATAGCCATATAGGTACCTCTTTACTTTATACTCGTGTTTCATGTACGTACGTATAAGAAAAGATTTTACAAACCGATTGCTGCTTCTTCAATATTTTTTACCACTGCGTATTTTTCACAAAGTTTAATTTTCAATAAGTATTATAATATAAAATTATGATAACTTTCGGGAACAATTTTTAAGCTTTGATAAACAATCCACACATTTTAACGTAGGTATCTTGAACTGTTTGAAAACTGCGACATTTGTGATGTATCTTAAAATTTCAAGTCCGTGGTTTTATCACCAAGCCCTAAGTGATAAATATCTTGAATTTGTAAATTAATTTATTTGGAGGAGATAACATGATAAAAATTTAAATTTTGTATTGATTATTATTTATAAAGAACTTTAGAGGAATTATTAGGGTTAATTCACGCCACCTGCAAGATTCTCTAAACATCATTTCATGTCACATCGTGAAAACCAGCGCACACTTTTACTAATATTTTTTCAATATAAATACATATATATATACCTATACCTAGATAAGAAGAAATTAAATTATATATCATCGATCCGTGCGTCTCGTAGGCATGGAACAAAGCACGTAACTGTTGTCCGATCGCCGATGAGATTGTATCTCATTACAATTACAAATGGATTATACGATTATTATATGCGGATATTAAGAGATTTTTTTTTTTGTCCCTCCACAATTACTCATAAAACATGACTACTCTTGATGTTCAGAAAGTAGACGTATAGGCAGAATTCGGAAAAAAATATTGTCATGACTACCTAAGCCCTCTGAATGTTTAAGTCTTTTAATGATTTTAAAAATCTATTTTTCAAAACGCGTGTTAAAGTAGTATAAGAGGGGGGTCAAAACGCCTGCGTTTAGCAAACTTTTAATAATTTTAGCCCTCCTGAACAAAAATTTAATTCAATTTCATATTTTGACTATAGATAAGTAATACAATTTATAAACACGATATATTCAAAAATAAATGTTGAGAGAAGTATCTTATTATATAAATTAATAACTATTCAATACCTAATTTAATTACTGCAATACTAACCTCAACGTGCAAAACGTAAGTATATTATAAATTATAAGCAACAATAAATTAATAATAATGGACGTAATCGGTTAGTTGTTGTGGCTACACTCCGAGAAACGTTGAACTTATTTGTCTCCCACTCATCGTTTGAATGTTAAAATATAGATGTTAGATGACACGTTCTCCAAATCTCAAGCCAATCGATTGGCGTGTGTATTTTTGCACATTGCTGAATTTATTTTAGGAGCTATAAACTCATAATCGCAACTAGGGTCAAAAATCTGAGGTTGCAAAAAATATTTATAAGTTTCATATTTGATCCAACAATGTTTTATCCATCTACACTCCATAATCACCTATTAGGAATTAATTCAATTAATTAATAATTTTAACATTATATTATAATTTATTAAATAATGCTATATTTATCAATTATTCTTACTAGGTATCTTAAAATGATCAATGAAGTACAATTAATTTATAACCTAAATTACAAAATAAATCAATTGAATTTGAAATCTTCAACTGAAAATTTGTATTTTAAATTAGTAATTCTGGACTTTTTGTTAATAATTCAATTTCATCTTTAAGAAAAATATTCTACTTTATATTATGTACTTTGTTAGTTTCAATGACATACAATTGGTTAGATATGTTCACATCATAGATGTGGTAAAAAATTCATAAAACATGTTTGGTTCCAAAAACATAGAACTATACCTACACCACTTATGTTGTTTGTGAAATATGCAATAAAAAACTAATGTCACAAAAATCAGTAAGACATAAAATTACACAACAAACACACAGGTATAAATACAAGATGTGCAAACATTCTTTTCTTTAAAAAACCATACATATAAAATAGGAGTTAATTAAATGTCTTAATTGTACCAAAACATGTGCAATTGAAAAAACAATTAAAAGTACTCAATATCAATGTACATTTACATTTAAAACCATACAAATGTCTACTGTGCGAGCTATCATTTGGAATGTCAATAACGATAATAACCTTATTCAGACATTGTTAAAAAGTAATACATATTATATTTAACACAAATATAATTATATTAAAAAACATTTTTATGCCAGGTACTCAAATATAATACCAACTATGACAAGGTTGCAGGTGGGAAACCTGAGCATCGAGGTACGTTCTTATTCCAACTGGAGTAAAAGACATGGAGAATTACACAACATACACAGAAATAGGTATAAAATATTTATGCAAGACTAGTGTTAAATGCAAATGTTGCATTAAAAAAAATTTTTATTCCGATTACACACAAAAAAAAAAAATATATATATACATAAAATATAAAAATAAGGAATGAAATATAACTTAATAGTATATTATATTTGTTATAATATATTAATTAATGTTTAAACTTAAACATTTTTCATCAATGACTGTCCTAAAAAATAAAGTGCATACATTAATTGCTGACCATGATTATTAAAATATAATAGCACTATTTATAAATAAATTTACTTATTATAAAATGATTTAGTTCCCAAATATGTTTGTATATCTTTTTTTTCTTTTTGGAGAATAATCGGATCGTTTACTTTCATGAATAACAAACATTTAGGATTATCATTTATCATTGTTACCGCCTCACTAATTGTAGTTTGGTATTCTACTAGAGTTGTGTTATACGTTTCTGATAAACTGTGTAATTCAATACCAAAACTGTTTCTTATTATGTTACTAGTATATTCTTCTATATTATCAATTTTTTTCTTTAATAACTGTACATCCTCACTTGTGTTTTTTATAATTTTTCTTTCAAATACAAAGTTTGTAAAAAACATTTTTGTGTTCATCTGTAAATCAAATTAATCTGAAAATGTATATGTATAAATCAATTTTAACTAGAAGTTGTGAAGTTGTTTACCCTAAATAATTTTGCATATGTTATAAATTCTTCAGCTTGTATATTATTTATTTTGCTAAAAATATCTTTAGTTTTCAAAGAGCAATATTTAAGTATGGTTGTTTTTGTAGTATCATTATTATAATTAAGTGTATATAAGTATGCATAATTGTTCTTTAAAAATTTATTCACTATTTTTTTTTTTATAAGATTATCTAGTACATGTTTCATGAATGGTTTACAATTTGTGTATATGTTTTTGCCACTTATTGTGACTATGGTCATCAACAATTCAAACGAATCACATAAATATCTCATCTGAAAATTGTATACAGTCAATAAAAATATTTTTTATTATTATAATTAAATGTTAACGTTAAGTTAGTTTTGATTAACTACCGTGTGATATTCTGATAAAGAATTTATGGTATATTTGTTCAAAAAAACGATTATTAATATTTCATCAAATGTCAATGTTGATGATTCAACATAATACACATCTAATTGAAATTCCATCACATGATCATCCAATGTCTCTATTATGATGGTGTTGGCAGTTTTCTCAAGAGACCTGTTATATAATATTTTATCATGTATATATTATTATTATGAAACAATTTATGTTAAAAAACATTACGAATCGACATTATCAGCATCAAAATACAGTTTATGATGGTATTGCTTTATGTTTTCTATGCATTTCAAAAAATGAAATCTTATCAATGAATAGTATGAATGTCCATTAATTGTTGAAATCCCTTTTTTACAATTGTTCAGTATGCTCACAAATTCATGGACTATTTTCATTTGGCAACATTTAATATGCAACAATATTGCCTTACTGATTTTATGCCTTAGTGCATGCGTATCATAGCTGCAATATACGAAAAAAAAAATACATGGAAAAATTGAATATAAAAATTTTATAATTTTAAACATAATTCTAAATTTAAAAAAAAAAAAAATCGAACAATTGAAATATTAGGAAATTTTAAGTAATTACACTTACACTTCATCAATGACAAATATGTTCATTTTATCCCATTTATTAATAAACAATTCATTTATGATCCAAATGAATTGTTTATTGTCAACTTTTGGATTTTGTATCAGCTTATACCATACCCAGTATGGTATGTTTAAAGATGCCAGTTGATCTTTTAATAATGAAATTAATTCTGTATCTTTAAATATTATACTTGCATAACATTTGTTGTCATTACCAGTGTATAAATTTGGTTCAACTCTATAAATATAAATATTAGCTAAGCGTATGTCAGTATGTGTGTATTATTAAATAGTATAATTAAGTATATAACTTACTCTTTTGAATTTAGTAACATGTAACTGTTAAAAGTTTTTGAATTTATTTTATTAATTATAGTTTTTAACATTTTCCTTTTTATTAATTTACTTTTTTTTTTGTATTTAGATGCACCATCTATATATTTCTTAGCCACAGAGTTTATGTTAGATGATGAAATTGGATTCTCAAGTACAAATTTGGCCAAATTAATAGTTTCATCAGAGTGGATCAACATTTTAACATCATCAAAATTATAAATAGCAAATTGAATATTAATTGAATTATTTCTGACATAATTATTAATTAGATCTTCACTATAGAATCTGCCCAAACTATCTAATAATAATTTTATCAATTCAACTTTAATAATTTTGTTATTCCGTTTTGCCAAATAAACAAGGGATGATGCAATTATGTTTGTAGTTTCCTTAAAAAAAAGAAAATATATATATATAAAAAAATTTGAATTAAAGTTACCCTCTCCCCCCAAATATATTCCCCTTTAATAATAATAATTCTTTTCTACGGAAAAATATTCCAATTACAGGTATGTATAATATGACAGTACTTTTTTTATACTCTAAATTAAATTTAAAATTTAAATAAACAAGTTTAAACTAAAGGTTTAGTTCAAACTCATATAATAAGATTAATAATTAAATTACAATACAAAAAGATAAATAAAATACAACATATTTATATAATAAATAATATAAATTACAAATACAGTAAAAAACATTTTTTTTTTTTTTTAATACTATAAATACAATGATGCTGTTTATTAAGTGATTGATGTATGAAATAAGTTAATATTATACAGAGAATTACTACAAGCTAACATTAGTTTATTTGCAGGAGAGTACATTTTGTATGTATTAGTAGCATTTAAAAGATAGAAAACAAGTTTATTTCTGAAATTAAAAGAATTAAATTTAAAGTTTAAATTTTCATGAGTTAGGGGCAATTAATATAATTATGAAGTAATTTAAATAAAAATTTTAAGTCTAGTAGTCGAAACCTATTGTTAAATGAAATTATTTTAAAATTATAGTTTAAATTATCATATCTTGAATGAGTTCTTTAAATAGATACCACATTTAGAGCATAAATATCTTAAAAAGTTGTTTTGTATAGATGTTAAATATTGATTTGGTAGAATACTATTTTTGTGCTAGATTAAAGACACATTTTCAATTTTAGACCGAATAAAAGAATAATATAAAAAATGTTAAGGCTGAAGTATCATTAAAACCTGTATACATACGTTTTATTAATCCTAATTTCATCAGTGATTTGTTATTTAACTGATCAACATGATTTTTAAATGAAAGTTTAGAATCAAAATTAACTCTTAGGTCATTAATAGTATTTTTAAGGAACAAATATAAGTTATTAATGCATTAGTTAAAAAATAATGAATTTTATTTTTAGAGAAAATGAAACAGTTGCACATTTATCAATATTTAATACTAGTAATCATACTCCCATTGTCATTGCACCATATAAATAAATTATTTAAATTTTCTTATACCTAAATGGTTAACATAATTTAAACATTTAATTTTTTTTATAAATTTTAATATTATCTGCTAATATCAAACAGTTACGAGTTCCTAATGTTTTTAACAATGTCATTAAAAAATAAAAGAAAATAATTGTGGTGACATATGATCACCTAAAAGAAAACCCTCAAGGACACCTGATGTTATTTATAGAATCAGATAAGTAATTTTTTTTTGTAATTTTTATATTTTACAATTTGGGTACGACTAATTGAAAAAGAACTTATTCACGTTAAAAATAGATCATCAATAGCATAAAATATAAGTTTAGAAATTAAAAGAGAGCAGTTTACTTGATAAAATGCTTTTTCAAAGTCCATATATTATATTACATCAAGTTGTGCCTTATCACTAAAGGCATCAATTATTGATTGTTTAAAAATATATAAATTACCTAGCAATTGTTGATTGATCTTTTTGAAATCCACAGTGTTCATTGTAGATAATAAATTTGAAAAGAGGCAATATGATTTTTGTAACTAATTTCGAAGATAATTTTAGGAAAATAGAAATTTTAGATATAGGTCAATAATTAGAGATAACGGACCTATCACCTTTTTTAAAAATTAGAATTACATAGGAAACTTTTCCATATACCCAAAAATATTCTGGAATTAAAGAGGAGTTATATAAATATGTAATAACTGGGGATAAAACAAAAGAAGATTTTTTTTTTTAATACAGTTGAAATTCTATCAGGGCCTGTTTTAAATACTCGTTTAAATATTACTTAATACTATAATAAGACTTTCCTACTTCCCAAAAGTTTGGAAATATTAATTTATTATCCTTTTTCCAAAACCTGAAGCTCTAGGAACATCTTATAGACCTGTAAGTTTACTACCGTTATTTGCAAAAGTACTAAAGAAATTAGTTCTCAACGGATATTACCTGGTATCAGCAAAAATAAAATACTTTCCCACCATCAATTCAGTTTCAGTCAATTACATTTCATTATATATCAAACACACAGGATAATTGATGCAATTTCTCACTCCCTGAAGAAAAAGTTATATTGCACTTGTGTCTTTCTTGATATTTTGCAAACGTTTGACAAGTTATAGCACAATGGTCTACTATTTAAACTTAAAAAATGTCTACACCCTTCCTACTACCTACTCATAAAATCGTACTTAACTGACACAACTTTCAAGTATATTATGACTCCTCTGCCTTAAACACAGCCCCTGTAAAAGGTTAGTTCCTCAAGATGGTATACTTTTCATAATTCTATACAACATTTATGCCTCAGATCAACCTATAACACTTTACACACTAATCGCAGAATATGTAAATGACAAAGCCAACATTTCTATCAATGCAGACCTTCTGTTAGCTTTTAGAAATTTACAAAATCACCTGCATCTTATGAAAAAATGGTATAACTAACTGGAGATTCAAAGTCAACCAAGATAAATCCTATCACACTACATTCATTTTAAAAATGGTTCCATGTCCAAATTTTACTCTTTATGAAATCCAAATTCCCTCTTACCAAACAGTTAAAATACTTAGGACTTCTATTAGATCGTCGCCTAACATGGGTCAAACACATAAAATCCAAAAAGCTGCAATTGAACAATTGCTTACACATGCAAAGCTCATTGCTACATAGATATACACACACTAACATAAATATCAAATTGATAATATACAAAACCCTTCTAAAACCCATCTGGACTAATGAAATCCGGCTCTGGGGTAGCGTAAAAAAAACCAAACATACAAAGAATTCAAACTTTTCAAAATATTCTTTTAGAAAAACAACAAATGCTCCACTCTTTGTTTCTTATCTTACACATAATAACAACAGTAATTGATGAAGCAAAATGTTACTACAAAAGATTCCACACTTACTTCTCCACTGTAATCCTCTTATAAAAAAAAACCTTATACCTATAAAAATTTCAGGTAATCCCCCAAGACAGGTTATATGAAGATGGTGTCGCGACCTTCTATTTGAAATTTAAACTTTTTTAGCTTAATAAACTAAAATAAAAATAAAAAAACTCAAAACGGATAGTGTAACCAATGGGTGGCTTCTTTCTTCCCTCAAAATAACCACATTTAATTACTTTTTGTTCTAGACAAGAGTAGATTGTAAATTTTTTATAAAATTAAAAATACTATTACTTACGCTGTTGAATCTATATTTTCGTGTTTGTTCAATTTTTACAGGTCTTTCTTTTTCAATAATTTCAGTAGACATTTCGGCCCGTTTGATTCATACACGAGTAATAATAAAAATAAATAAATAAACTATTACATTTCACAGTAAAAATATAAATGAAAAATAAATTATAATGATAATCGTTAATATAACATTAATATGCAAACACTCGTTTAATAATAATATATTATTAATATAAAGTAAAGACTACAGAGTCAAGACAAGAGACAATCAGACAACCACAAGCCTAATACACAACTGTCAACGTCAAATGTCATTCTGTGATGTATATTTTTTCTTTCGATAAAATTATCGATTAATATAGATTATAAACCACTGTATTAATTCACCGTAATTGGGTTTTTTTTTGTCATTTGAGCATTAATCTAAAAATAAATACGATACTTATTGGAATTAATAATATAACTGATTAGCTATTAGCTGTAATAGACATTTTATAAATAGAATATCAATAAATTATTTTGATAGTTGCAATTAAATGGTGTTTCAATAATTTTAATAAGCTCCAAATAAAATCGTTTAAAAACTAGGGGGATTATGGATAAAACTAGGAAACTAAGCCCCCCACCTCATCCACAAATTACATCTATGGATATAGTATATAATATTATAATGTCAATAATTTCACTATATATCACCGTGTCGACTATTGACGATAGAAATGCAATTTTTTCTTTAAAATTAATGACATTACCATACAGATAATATATTCTCAATGAAAGGCAGAAGAAAATTAACTATTAAAAAAAAAAATAATAATTCGAGTAAAAGTTATGTGGTTGCTCACTTGCACCATCACAATATTAGTGGTTGACGGTTGTTGATGTAAAATGCACATTAAATGCAATTACAAGTGCACACACAATAAGCGAAACGACGCGAACAGGAATATTTTGCTCTTTTAATAATAATTATGGTACAACTCTTATTATATCAAAGTTCCTATCTATTATATGGAAATATGACGAAACCGAAAAACTTGATTCTGTTCTATAGAAAATTTCGAGCAGTGTAGATATCGTTGAGTAGAAATTCACCGTAAACATGTATATAATAATATATTCAATGCTCTTTCAGGCCTTTCACGCGCAATTTTCGTGGTAAAGATTATTTTCTTATTCTGAAAGACCTGTTATAGGAGGAATTACTGAAATCTGAACTTGATTCGGCACTTCAAACTGCATTATTTGTAAGTTAACACTAGATACCATGGATACCATATCAAACCAAAGTAAAATTTGGGATAAACGTCGCCGGCAGATTACACGTTAAACTACCTAGTTCCACGTTTCACTTAATTATATAAAATCTATAATATTCTTGGCGTACACGAACTCGAAAACAAACTAAAATGTGTTGCAGTTTCTATGTTTCTTATAACAACAATAAATATTATCTGTAGACTGTGGTGTATACATTTTGTATATATATTATATATATTATATATATTATACATTGTTGTATACATTTATTTAAAAATATTGACATCATATTATACAGTAATATTTCCATAGTCAAATAGTTTTAAAAAGTTTATACGTAGTCAAGCGGCATGGATAATACCAAGTGGAGAATAATGATGCTCAGCACCTATAAATTTGACGGTCAACGCGTCACAAGTGTAGCATGGACAAAGACGGTCAGGCATAATATTATTATTGTACAAGTGATTATTGTTTTTCATGTTGACATATCATAATAATCGTAAACAATTGCGAAATTTTAAACAATATTTCATTGTTCGCTGCAATTATAATTTATGGGGACTAATCCACATGTTTTCGCAGTATGTACCAGTTCATGACGATTCACTTTTCTGTCAGTAGACCATTTTATTTTTTTAAATACCAAAAAAAAAAAACATATAATTACAATATATAATGTTAAAGGTTTGAAAACTACAACAACTAACATAAATTACAGCGCATGCGACGAAACAAATAAAAATATTCAGATGAATTCGTGTACTGCTATCATAATAATAATAATAATAATAATAATATGATAAGTATGCAGTTCAGTTGGAATAATAATAATTATTATTAAAAATAAAAATAAACACAAAATTCAACGACGTCCTTTATTAAATTAATAGGTATATGTCATATGAACAGTAATCATAATAACGCCGTACACAAGTTAGATTAATTATATTGTACTGTGGTCATTTTATCAAGACGTCTAATTTTGTTTATTATTTTATAGTTACTAATATGACTATATGTATATACTTTTGTTGTCATGTAATATTATGCTTGTATTACAAAGATAACATTTTGCAACGATGTTTAAATATCTCCTTTTCCGACGTTGAGTAAGGTTCAAACACTTCGAACAATACAAATCCCCATATCTATGATATTATTACATTAACAATGTTCGCGTAGAACAATGTATATTATTAGTCATTACTAAAAGACGGATGACATTAATAATACAATTTTTTCAACGCGAATCAAAGCTTTGAGTTTGTTTGATTTTTATAGATTTCAGGTTATTGGAATATTAAATAAATATATTATTATTGTAATATACCTGAAAAATTCAAAAATGAATTTATGCAGTTTAAATTGTACTTATAAAACAATATAATTTTTTACGGAAATGTATTCTACATTCTACATCAGTTTTCACAAATTTAGGGGTTGTCGATTTCGACGATGGCAAAAAATATTGTAAATAAAAATCATGTTAAATAAAAAAAAAACAAGCAAAATAAAGTCAACGGCACGTAGTGTTCCCAAGCGGTCACCCATCCAAGTACTAACTACGCCCGACGTTGCTTAACTTCAGTGATCGGACTAGAACTGGTGTATTCAACGTGGTATGGTCGTTGGCGATGAATTTTATAGTATTTAAATTTATTAACTGTAAAAATGTCATTCTAATTTAATAATTTATTTATTGTACACCTATAGTTCACTTCCTTCTGCACATCAAAAATTTGTTTTTATTCAAATATGCATCAAAACTATAATACAACGAAGATAATGTTTTTAAAAATATGATTATGAAAAGTAAGTAAATGATAATTGTTTACCTACTCGTATTTAAGGAAAGCAGAACGATTAATGTATAACCCCCTTCCACAGTTCCACCTCTAACATAAATCCCAAATATACAATCTGCAGACTGCAGTAATGTAATATTGTAATCTTAATAGGAAGTTATGACTAAATTTTGACCAATTAGTTTTAAATACAGTATATAAATTTTACTTACGTATGTATGATAATTTATCATTAATAATATCACAATGTGATGACGACTACATGCAGTCATGCAATGATAACAGACAACGATATATTCGCTGGCTATTAAAAAAATTACGTGGTCTAGGAGATGTTTGTGTGCAAAATGTTTCTGAAATATTATTCAGCACAACGAAAAAATACGCGCAAAATGACTGATCCGAATTCTTTGGATCTGTGTGTTGACTCGGCAAACACTGAAACCACCGTGGAACATGTGCTAGAAGACATCATCGCTACGGTATTAAAGGAACACGACGAAGAACAAGAACTAATCAGTGATGATGATCTACAAAGAGGAGTGGCGGACATCGTACGTTCGATCGTAAATTGTCGGGTCGTATACTTCGCATCCGAAGTAACAGTACACATCGTAAACGACGTATCCGATCACAGTGTGTCTGTACATTCCGACGGAGATGACAGTGGCAACGGAGGAACGATTGGCGACGACGTGACAGCGACCGAAGTGATTCTGGCCAAGGGCACGATGGCGGATGTAAGAAATCCGTCTGGAAACTTGGTGAGCTGGCTCGAACCGGAAGTGCAAACTACGAGTACACCTATAGCAGTGCCACGAGGCCGAATGACGCGATTCGCGGCCTCTGTGTGGAAAGGAGTTAAATGGGTGGTCGGTTGTCTGGTGATGTGCAGTTGTTACGGACCACCGTCCGTAGACACCCTACATGTTTTACCCTAAGTCGACAGGTATTAGGACGAGACGAAACCGACAAACCTACCAGAGACTCACACGCTAAAGTGCAGAACATGTGTACACAAATGTTCTTCTGGTCGGTTGCCGACACGCGAAACCCTTTAGTAGTCGATTCCTCTGCACGATGAACGTCCAGGTGCTCCGGACAACTACAGATAGTATCCGGTCCATAATGACTTGTTTTTCACCGGCCTAGTTATAGTCTGGTAGCCATCGATATCGTGGCAAGTTTCGTTCGTTTCCTATTTCTTAGTCACCACAACAGTCGGTTTTATTGGTTGAATATAAAATTAATGATTTTTTTTTATTGACTGTGCTCGAACGTCGACGTGCACCACACACATCTTACCGCTCATCATGGTTGGGTCTCTTCTGATGTCGCATTATCATAGCCCTTCGCGGGCAGGACAACGTTGTTAAGGTGACTACTGACTAGTAATCCATGGATGTATCACACAACAGCATCATCTGTACCATAGCGTATCCCATCACCTGAATCATGTTTTTGTTTTCTTCTGACTACCCACTTTGAGTTACTGCTATCTCTTTTTTACCCTCTAAATATTTATTACGTTTAATAATGGTATTTTTGTTTAAGTCATAAAATCAATCATTTTCTGTGTGATAAGTCACTTTGAGCTGAATACGTTTAAAAATCAAAAATGCTTTATTGTTTAATCTACCATGCAATTTTGAACACTATATTATGTTATAATAATAAAATGAATAATAATTGTTTGCACAATAAAGTACTGTAGTTTTGTTTTTTGTATTGTCGAGTATAAAACATACTTTGCAACAAAAGTGTATTAAATGTTCATTTTTTTTTCAGCTGATAAAAGCTACTTATCATTATATTTCATAAGCATAATAATGTTTTCAAAGGCATTAAGATTAGTTACAAGCTATTGCTTGTTTATATTACAAATTTATGGTAAGTCAGTATTGCTTCAAAATGTATAATAAAAATAATATTTTATGATCTAAATATTTACTATTTTAATATTTAATTAAATAACAATAATATAATGAATGAAATATTTTCAGAAAAACGAACTAAACGTATCGTATTACATAATATTTAGCAAAAGAAATTATTATAATAGCAATATAAGTTTATTAAAATTTGTTTTAAGGTATAATGTTAACTTTCCAAGTATATACGTAATATGAGTACAATAAATTCTTTGCTTGATGATTAGTTTTGATTAAAATACAATTTAAACATAGTTATATGAATACATAAGCATACTAAAAATTGTTCTAAATCCTGTTTTAGAATACATTTTATTACTTTTTGATTTACTACGTGTATAATATTAATTGATGATTATTTAATATCGTGTTTACCACGATTAATTCATCGAAGATTCCTTCACACGGCTTAGTCGATGAACGTTGACGGCGTATTTCATTATCCGTCAACAATAAATTGTAAAAATGTTCTTTAACACATAGCAAATTTCTATTCAGAATGATTTGCGTTTGGTAATACCAGGTATTATATGCTATCTGCATTAAAAACTAATTATACATGCATAATAAAAAATTTAAAAAAACCAAGATAGAGTTTGCGATCTGATCGATTTTTTTATTTAAAGCAAGACCAGTCACAAGAGTTACAAGTACCAATTAAACATTTTAGATTTAACCGGATATGATGCATATCTCATAATTGTATAAAATCTATTTCAGATTTTAATTTATAATTTATGGTCTTATTGCTTATTCTATAATATGTTTAGATCTTTTTTTTTGAGATAAAATGATGATCGCTGGGCGATATGAATAGGCAATTTGGATACATCACTGTCGTTAGTATACCTTTCTGTTATCATTATTATTTAGTAATTATGAAAATATACACAGTATTTAAACCAGTGGTTAGGCAAAAATGTAAAATGCCAAAATGTCCTCAAAAATACTAAAAGATTAACTATAAGCGCGATTATTCAGAATTTATAATCGTAACTTTAGTTTATATAAAATAATATCGAAAAATATTATAACGTTCAAATTAGAACTACAAATAGATAACTTAAAAAAATAATAATTTTATTGATAATAATCTTTTAGAATTTTTTGTTCTAGTATGAACAATTTGACATTATACTAAGTTTTCATACCTTGGCTATAAATATTGAAGATTTTATAATTGTTTAATTATAATTAATACTTGTACATTTTAAGTTATCGTTAATTTGACGAATTTTGTGAAAATGTTACTTCCAAATTTAAAAACTTGTACCTGCGTGTTTATAATATTTTTTTGTACTATATACAATTATAAAAACCACTTATTTGAGATCTTATAAGTATCAAATTTTCAAGAATTTTTATCAAGCGGATGATTGTGCATCATAACATTTTATAGAAAAACAGAACTGATTAAATTTTACAATTTTAAACATTTATAAATAGCTTCAACGAAATCAAAATCATACCTTGTATAAAAAAAAAAAAAATTTAAATATTTAAATTTAATAATTTATATTTATATCAAATATTATAGTTATTAACTTAAAGTGAAAAATGTTCGTCAATTTATTTTTTAGTTCCAGTACGAAGAGTGATGAGGAACCTTCTTACACATTTTTAAGCCTTAACTAAATTTTTATGTTATTATTTAGAAAATGTTATTAAAAAATAAACTTTGAATATTTCTAAAAAAAAAAAAATATATGATTGAGTATCTTAGTTATTTTTAAATAGATTCAATAAAAAATTATATATCAAACTCTAGTGTTAAATTTTTAAGCTTTTTGAACGAGCAAAAACAATTTTATTGATATTCATCGAAAAAAATCATATTTTGAAGAAAATATCTTGTACATTTAATTTTAATATAAAAAAATATTCAAATATTTCTCCAAAAGGTGATTGCACTGAATGCAGGCACAGACACAACACATAATTTATTGTGAAACAATATATTCATTGCTGCGCTCGGAAATAAATATAGTTAAGGTGAAGTTTATCTAGAACAGATATGTAGTTATTATTTAGATAGAATTTCTAGATATTATGTTATAAATTTTAACGCAGTTATAATCTAAGCTGTAAAATATAACAGTAAATTAATTGCATTATTGTACAACAGTAGGTATATAGGTATTTTGTAAAAATTATAAACTCATCGAACATCAATATATTGGCGAACATAACTTAAAATACAATTTAAACAATTGTAAGTATTCGGTTAGACAATACAAATGTTTAAATTATAATTAAATATTTGTAATTTAAAAAAAAAAAAAAAATAATAATAATAATAAAAAAAATATTCAATGAGTATGCATATTGCATATAATATTATAATTACATTCAAAAGTACTTGTATTGTACTTGTTCACGTTAAAAAAAAATGTGTTATTATATTATTATTTATGTTTGTAGTAATAAGATGCCTTATTATATGGATACCTAAAATTAAGATGTACCTATGTCTATAAATCGTAATTGTGTTATGATAATGCATACCTGTAAATTTGATAAAATTTAAAAAGTATATATTATGCATTATACAATTTAATATGTCTATACAATTATATTGAAATAATAATAATTTAAATGTCTAATTTTTACTTAATAATAGAGAAAGTTTTATTGTCATACATTTTAGTAAAGATGACCAAAAACGTACAAAACTGTACGATCTATGAGCATTATATACATTAGGTATATACCTATTATGAATTGTGATATAATCAAATAACTTAATTTTCGATTAATTTTTCGAATAACAATGATTTCTACTGATATTACACACGACACTGGATGTGATTAAATGACCGATAACCTGGTAACCGGAATTATTATTGATTTAAGCTTTACAATCCAGGATTCATCGCGGTCCGTTCCAAATCTAATTTGTTCTTAAATGGTTGAAAATATTTTCTCGATCAAATCGTATTCTCGTTGTCGCGGTGCCAGAGAAATTATACCTCAAGTGCAGGGTACGTGTGTGTAATTTTTGAAATGTCGAACCGCCAAATAACTATACTGCACATTTATACGGTCTGAAATAATTTAAAATAAATCATAAACGGTTGTACACACGTTTGGTAAGTATACATTTATACACGAAACAATTCGCTACCCATTCAATAATAATTGCTCAACTGCTAATTGCAGGTATTACCAAGACAAAATGGTGAATCCGTTTGCTGCAGTAGATTTCTCCCGTTTAATCGTTTCATAAATTATTACAACATTATATTCTATACGCTGTTTCTTTTAAAAAAAAAACGTTCGGTACTGAAAATCAACAACCTATTTTTTTTTTATATTAGATGTAATTAAAAATAAGCTGTATCTTACAATGTCGTATAATACGTGCTTTATCATCGAAATAAAATATCATGTATATATTTAAACTATTTTGTATTTAATTGCGTTTGGTAGTGAGACGGTTACTTATGCAACGCAACGCCGCCATACCATTAAAACAGTTTATTCAACTCGATATTATTGTGTAAAAATAAATACAATGGATTTATTCGTATAATATAGCTGGCAAGCAGGTATTCGTTAAGTTTGTTTTATCATATGATTTTGGCTTTTCGGTGTCGAAAATCAACTCTTTGACATACCTACGTTTAAGCGAAATTTATAGAAAAAATTCGAATTAGATGTCCGGCGAATGATGATTTTATCGGAACACGCACCGTTGTTATGAATAAAATAAACACCGAAAGACAATTGTGTTTTAATGGTTATTATTAAACTTTTTTTTATTCTAAAAAGAATTTCAGATGTGCCTGTAAAATATTTCAACGAGTCGTATCTTCGTTTCTTATATGAATATTTTTTTATATGCTATTTGTTTTTAATTAAAAGTGCGTAGATATATGTCATTACTCATTATTCTAGACGGTTTGGCAACAGAAATTTAAGAACGTACGTCGATAAGCTTAACATCATAAAATATGTTTTTTTCGCGAACAACAAGATACGACATAATCGGTAATCCTAAGTATTTTTTTATCAACACAAATTATAGTTTTAGGTGTGTATAAAAAAATAAGTAGTTCGGAATTTTTATTGAGGATATAATATTATGATATTGATTTATTTCGAAAAAAACATTCTTATATTATATAAATTCAATTTAACATTAATTTTTAGCAAAATAAATAAAAAGTATTATTAATAAATTTAATTAGATTAATAATATAATTAAATTAAGTTATAACAGAATTGTGGATATAATATAATATTATATTATTATGAATATACTATCGAAAATGGATTTAATTTTTTGGGATCGTTAAACTTATACAATAATAATGTACGTTTGGTAAAGTTTAATTAAATTGTTTACATTACACATAAATAAATATAATAATAATACTTAAATTATATGACAATTACTTTAATACATACATAAACACTAGTTTTGCTTTAGAAAAAAATATCATATGACAAATAGTATATATTGCTATACACAGTTGTTGTGATGACTAAATAACGTGATATTTGGTCTTAATCGTTAAATAATAATAATAATAATAATAATAACTATATAACAAAAACAAATTTACATTGGTACGTATACACTAAAATTAAGAAAAACCTAGGAATTTGTATCACAAGATTAAAATAATTGAGTTAAATTGTACAACGTTACAAACTAAAATAAAAGTACAACGTATAATTACATATTAAAACATATATATATATATAGCCGAATAGAGAAGTAAAATAAAAATCCTTGCTATGTAAAATTTCTAAAAATTTGAATAGTTTAATAATATCATATAATGACATGATGTCTACTTTGGTGCGAGCATAATAATAATAATGATGATGATATTTATAATTGATAAATATACGTATAATAATAATAATAATACAATATAATATATCATGATATTATCATGATGGCCGGTAGCAGCAAACGAAACACGGCGACGGCAGTGTCACGGAATCACTACGTTAATTGTGGCGACGACAGTAGTTAATGATGAATTAACTCGATGTACCTAAACAATTTATTACTATATATGGGGGGGGGGGGGGTTATGGCGTCCGACCGGATGTCGGGCGGACGCGATGAGCGTATATTATTTATGTATAAATATTGTTACGAGGCATCCGACGACAGCGACTTGATTTCGTGTATAGCTTAGAAGTGTACGATGATCGTTATACTACATCAATTCATAGTCGAAGGCGAATCGAGTGGGAAAACAAGCGGAGAACAAAATACAGCTTTGGTGCAGCGGCGGCGCCAGCGACCGTCCGCACACTTCCTTCCGGACGACGAAATCAATAAGTAATTAATATAAACGATAATTGGAGGAACGGACGACGGGAGAGGGACGGCGGAGACCTTATAGTTTATATAATATAATTTAATTACAATAATAATAATATGTATAATAAAATATGCGTGCACGCGCGCGCGTGTGTGGAGGTAGGTACTCGGAGATTGGTGACGATACAACCGTACATTATCGTACGTGTTTATTGTGCCATGACGGAGACGACGACGCCGCCGCCGCAAAATTTGAGCTCTGCGAAGGGCCCCGTGCCGTGTGGCCCGTTAACGGGCCCAATTCAGGTAGAGCGGCGGAGCCACGGGTCATAAGTGGGCCGCGTACTGCTGCAGGCTGTTGTCGGGCTGCTGCAGGCCGCACGGGTCCACCACCACGTTGTTGTTCTGCATCTCGGCCGCCGACCCGTGGTCGCTCACCTTCTTCATGAAGCTCCGGATCTCGAACAGCCTGGGGTCCTCCTTCTCGTCGACGCTGCTCGCCGAGCTGCTGGTGACCGTGCCCACGGCCGTGCCGTCGTCCGCCTCGTGCTTCTTGACGTGCCGGTCCAGGTTGGTCTGCTGCGAGAACCGTCGGTTGCAAAGATTGCATTTGAAGTTGCGCTCCTGCCGGTGTATGTTGCGCACGTGCCGCTGCAGGTTGGACGATATGCTGAACGACCGTTCGCAGTGCGCGCACCGGTACGGCTGTTCGCCGGTGTGCGTGCGCACGTGCCGGGTCAAGTTGGCGCTGCGCGGGAACACCTTGCCGCAGTATTTGCACGCGTACCTGTCCTTTGATTTGACGTGCTGTTGATGCTGCTGCTGCTGTTGGTGGTGGTGGTGCTGTTGCTGCTGCTGGTGTCCTGCCACCGCCGCCGCCTGGTGGTTCTGGTGCTGCTGGATGATATCCTGGTACGATTTCGAGTAGTTGGGCATGGGCTGGCGGAGAAAGTGTTCGATGGCTGGCGACGTGCTGGACATGAACGCGAACGGCGGCCGGACGGCGGACGGTCCGAAAGGCTGGTGCGCCTGCATGTGCTGCAGCTGGCTCTCGGCGAACCCGGACAGCGCCGCTGGGTAAATGGAATCCAAGTACAGCGGTTTGGGGTAGGCCATCAGATTGCTGACCGAGTACGGCGACGACGACGACGGTCTCTGAGCCGGCGGTGGTGGCGGTGGCGGAGGCAGCGGTTGAGGCGGAGGAGGCGACGACGGCGGCGATCGTTTGCGACCGCGCTGCTCGGCGTGCGGGCTATCGTCCCGCGACTGCGGTGGAGGTGCTTGACGAACGGCCGACGGAGACTTTTTTCGTCGGCGCTGCGCTTTTGTCACGGACAGGTCGAGCGGCTGGTCCGCCGATCGGCACGGCGATCCGTCTTCGTCGGACGACCGACGTTCGCTCACGCTCTCGTCCATCATGAGCTCGTCCGCCGAACCACTTCCGGCGCCGCCGCCGCACAGTATATCCGTGTTGACGGACAGGTCGCACGGGCTGCAGTCCTCGTCCCCGGACCGCTTCCGCTTGACGTGAACCTTGGGGTCGGGATACGTGGCGCTGGGGCGCGCCGGCGACGGTCGCTGGTTGGAAGACGCTTCTTCGCCGACCAGCGGCGACGTCTTGCTCGAACCCATCAGTGCAGCCACGCCGGATGACGTGGGCGGCTGCGGCGGCGGCGTCTTCTGGCCGGCGTTGAACGACGACGAGCGTTTGGCCGGCGTCTCGCCGAGTTCGGCGTCGGCGGCCGATCTCTTAAACCGGTAGTTGCACACCTCAACGGCGCTGGACAGCATGTCCATGTTCAACTTGGGCGCCAACTGACTGAACGGGCTAAACGGCGTCAAGAACAACGGCGGTGGAGGCAGCGACCCGTTGGCCGCCGATTGAAAGTAGAACGGGTGAACGAGCGGGTGTGGCGGGTACGGCGGGAACCGCGGGTACACGGACAGAGACGACGATCCCAACGCGGCGGCTGCGGCCCCGGATTCCTGTTGCTGTTGCAGTGACGGTATGCCTCCGTTGCCACCGGCTGTCGCGGGACCGGACTTCCTGAATAGCGATGGTTCCGGCGACGGGTTCGACTCGCAGAATCGCTTGTGTTTGGACAGCGACGTGCCCGTGCTGAACGACTGGTCGCACCGATCGCACTTGACTTGCATGCGGCAATCGGCGTGCATCCTCTTGTGTCGGCAGAGGTTCGAGAACTGAGTATAAGCCTGAGAACAAAACAAGCAGCGACGGACGGCGCGTTAGATTACGATGTACGGTATACACTGTGTAACGAGAGGCAAAATAAATATCATACAAAGCTGCAGCACACAAAAGGCGGCGATTGTCGTCCGTCGGAGGAGACGTGTGCGCGCGTGTGTGTGTGTGTGAAAAAAACAAGAGCGCGCGGAGATCGCGACCTGCAGACTGCGGTGAAGCGGTTGTTGTTATGCATTATTATTATTATTATTTTTTATTTTCTCCTCGACCCGTTGTCGTCGCGTATTAATCATTATTATATTATTCCGTTATCGGGGCTGAGTAAAATCGGTGGCAGTCGACGACGACGACTGAGACAATCGGGCATCCTTGTCGTACGCATCGCGCACGTATTGCCGTCGATAACACACGCGCGCGCCTATCGGGCGGACCTCTCTCGCGGTAGGTAACAACGCGGTTATACGTTTACGTGACCGGTACGACAACCGCGGATTGCGCGCGCGGGCTATCGTCGAGGAAACGGACGACGGGACGGGATAACGACTTGAGCGGCGAGCACGTCGCGCCGTCTTCGTCATCGGCGGCGACACAACGGGAAACGACGATTGATTAAATAACTGTGCGTCGCGTGCACTTTGCCTAATGCAGCGCGCGATAAGACGATAGGTGGGGCACGACGATGGCGACGACGACGGTACGACGACGAACGGAGACGAATCGTCGACGAGGCGAAAAAATAACTGTAATAATGATATGACGTGAGACACATACCTTGAAACAGACTTCGCACTGGAACGGTTTCACGCTCGAGTGGATGTGCGTGTGCTGCTTCAGCCCGCTGGATGTGGCGAACGTCTTGCCGCACTCGGAACAGGCGTGAGACCGGGCGCCCGCGTGATTGGTCCGGATGTGCCTCTGCAAGTTGCTCGGGTCGCTAAACACCTTTGAACAGGTCTCACAAGTGAACTTTCGGCTGTGGGCCAGAGCCAGGTGCCGGATCAGGCACGGCTTCCAACTGTACGACTGTGGGCACAGCTCGCACCCGTATTGATTGGCCTTGTAGTGGTGACCGGAAACCAGGTGATCGTCGAGCCTGTGAAAGACGGTAAACGTTGGTTGTAGTGCGGGTCGATATTCGGTATCGATTCAGTCGTGAAACTATCGTGGGTATTTCAATCAACCGATCGTTATTTTAAAGTGTTTTTATTTTTTTTTATTCTTTTCAAACGACTTAATATAATTTGATAAATACAAAACATGTCTCAACAGTAATTAAAGCTAAGATGAGCGGAGTAATGGACTAACAGTTTACGGAGTACTTCTGTAGTACTAACCACCACCCATCCAATACTTAAAACACTTAAAACTCATGTATTGAATTCTCGTTTATAAATCTTTTATTTAGAATTACTAGAAACAGAAGAAATAAATACATATATTATTTAAACGTTGTTTTTTTTACGATTTAAAATTGTGTAAATTATTATTTTCAAAAACGTTAAGTGTTTTAGAAACAACGAGTGTCTTCGTTAAGTATGTATACCGATGTGTTACGATATAGCGAGGACATCGAACGCTGAGCCCTTACCCTCAGACTCGATTTTGCGCGTGTCCTCTTGACACTGGGTCATTACGATATAATACTATGTATAACGACCGATTTTTATTATTATTATTATTGGTGCGGCGACACCGTTCGAATACGATCGTGTCGAGAAGTCGTTAAACGCGTTATATGATATGCACACGCATTTCTTTTACACTTCCCTCTGGGAAAATCTACGCGGAAAGTTTGGAGGACGAGCGGCGTTTATATATTATACGAAAATCGATTTATATAAAATTTCTTATCGCCCCGCTATTATCGGTCACGTCTTCGGACGGTCGGCAGGGTTATGGGTAGGGAGACGACTTCATCGCGACCAATGATTCTCGGATGAGAGTGAAATAGAGGAGAGAAAAAAAGAGGGCGTCTTGAAAAATGAAGTGCCGGACCGGCGGGCGGTCTCCGGACCGTGACCGCAGTTACACGTTTAAGCACTTAGGCGTTCACCGCCCTTCCCGCAGCTAAACTTGCTCGTTGTCTGCGTGGACTAGATATATCGTACATAGTAATAGTAATAATAATACATAAATACATACTAGCTGATATTGCGAACTGCGGGGAATCGCGGGACGACAGAATGTGAAATATATATAGTATAGTATACTGTATAAAAAGGTCGTAATGTATTATTATTATTATTATTATTATTAAACGCACTTCGTATAGATAATCGTTTTAATTTTTGGTTTGTTGCAAATAATCTGCAAAACCATGGTACTATAGTTTGGAGTTGATCATTCAAAGTCGGGATATCGACTCAACGGACGTATTGAACATAAATAATATTTATAAAATAAGCGTGACTTACTGTTCGATGTCGGGAAAACACTTCTCGCACAAGATGCACCGGTTTTGATCGTCTTCGTCCGGTTCTTCGGCGTCCACGTCCACGTCTCCGTCGCCGTCGATCGAACCCAGCGAGTTTTGCGACGCGACAACTAAATAAAAACACAAAGACCAAAACGCACGATAAGTAAGATAGTCACCGACAATCGGTTCATTTAATAATTATAAAATATTGTTTACAAATTAATACGACGGTTAGTGTGAAAAAATGACCCCGCACAACGGACGATACATCATATTATACGAAATATAGATATTAGGTACGTACGCGTGTGAGGTGCGTACCTACTCTCGGGGTGTCGCCGCGTGATTGAGGTGAAAAAAAAATTATACGACCGACAGTGGCAGTAGCTTTGTAGACGGTATAGGTAGGTACACTATTGCATTTGTGTGTGTTTACATATATTATTATACCCTCTAGTGTGCTATTGGCTATCTGCGGGACACTCCGCGCGCCCGCTTTTAATTCGAGGGATGAAAGCTACCTTCCGGAACGGAAACCAAACACAGAGGGCTTCGTGACGTGTATTAGCGCTACACCGTTGTTTGTAGTAGCATGTGTGTGTATGTGTGTGCGTGTGTGTGTGTACCTGATGGCATAATTAATTCACGACCGTAAGTTTACGGGGACGTTAACGGGGAGGTCGGTCGAGGGGGTTCTCGAATTGCGCTATATCATTGGAACCGATGTGTCAGGTGCGATTGGGATTTTCAACTGACGTTTTTCCACACCTGTTATAATAGTATATATTATTAGACGTGAAACTGCGTGTAACCGAAAACGTGATCAATAGACCTAGGATCCGCATACCGGCGATGAATATAAAAGTACCCTGCACTATACGTATATGTAACGATAAACCACAATCGCCGGTGGTCGAAGACCGAATTAATATTATTGTCGTCGTCGTCACAGCACCATGAGTGACAGTTTAGTTTATACAAGCTCAAACGCTTTAAATAAAAAACAAAAATACGGCAATAAATATAAAAAACGACGGGGTTCGTCGGTCGCGGAAAAAAAATATATGTATAAAATCAAAAAGCATATTGTTCGCAAAAACTATTAAGACTACTGTGAGCGGCAGGACTGCGATATTATATACGTATACATATTTATGTACACACGATAAAGGGGACGTTTGACGCGTGTAATCGAATATCCGCCCACTAATACTCGGTTTTCGTTCGAATTCACACGGCACGCAACAACCCTTCTTTTCGGGGACCCTAGCGCGCACACTTTTGTGTCACGTTAAAAAAAACACACACACCCGTTAATCGTATTCTGTAAAGTCAAAAGCTCCAAAGGACGGATATTAAACATACACATTACACATAACTGCAATTATACAGACGAATCGAAGACTTCGTATTTATGAACGCATTTCAAACAATATTGCATGACAATAGATGAGAGTCATGTCGTATCATGGCTTACCTACGCTGCTCGAGCGCGAGTAAGTCACACCTGCATCCTGTGTTTCCGCCGCACAAGTCTGTAACGGATTGCACAGATGGTCTAATTGCAGCGTACAGGTATGAAATATACACGTAACCGCTGCACGGCGCAGTTCTTTGTTGTGAGTACACGGACAGACTCCGGTGATTTGCGTGAGAAACGCGGACGACACACTGCGGTGGACCAAGCATACGAGTTATTCGCCTTGTCCCTCATGACTCCCCCCTCCCCTGTCACCTCAGATTCGCTGATGCAAGACAAACACCAGACGCGGACATAATATAATATAATATATGGTTCGGAATAATAACTATGCATATATATAAATACATGACGGACAACTGCGGGAGACAGACCTCATCATATTATTATACATATGGATAAACGAACAAATAATTTATATTATGTATTGTATATATACATATATCGGTTAGCGTTGCGAAACGGTCTAAAACAACGTTAATTCAACGACGACGATGATGCGACCGGACACAAATGTTTTCTATGTCAGCATGTATACCGCTGACTCACACAATGTCGTCGTGAAAGTTCAACCGTATAAGTTGCACAGTTTCGGCTATGGTACCATATTCCAGAATACAATAACAATAAGCGAGCACGTGAAAAACAATAATATAATACATAATATATATGTATATATGTATGTGATATAGAACGTGTCCATGACGACGAGCCACGATATAGGTACTCGAAACGGAAAAAATAAAATATGAAAAATATAAGAATAATAACGCGCGTAATAGGGGTTAAGTCACACTGATTGTCCGAGGGGGGAGAGGGGGGCGATGTCGGCCAGGTGTCTGCGACTCGCACACCAGGAAGTGGGAGTTTGAATCTCTTCCGGTCATGTGAAAACCGTTAAAAAACAAAAAGGGGCGCCCGATCGATCTGCGGGGATAATGAATTCGGGAGATTTCGGTGCGCAGCCAAGTACACCACGGCACTACATTATTCATCCAGTCCGGCGATGCCTGCAAGTATTATTATATACGACGCACGCATAATATACTTTTATTATTATTGAATTGTTTCGGTCGAGGACGCACGCATATCGGCGGCGGTCACATGTGCATACGACTTGTGCACGACTCCTTAACATGACTTAAAAATAAAGCGTGTACGAACATTGAGGGTTTTTTTTTTATTTTATTTTATTCCGAGCCCTGAGAATTTTCAAGGGTGGAGAGGTATGTATTATATTATTATTATTATTATTATTATTATTATATCTACATTAGACACATTCGAGACGATTAAACAGCGGCGACGGTGACGACCGGCCGCCGTTTGGCCGTGACCAACGATTGCGTTTTACTTTTTTACGGGGCACGTGAGCCGCCGACCCCTGCGACTCCATTTGATCCGAAAAATCTCGCGTGACCTATGGCAAGTCAAATCCAGCAAACACACATAACATCTGCGCGCACGCGGACATAATATACGTTCACATATAGGTAATAGGTACGAACCGGTTAGGGTAATCGCGTGACATCGTGAAATTGGCTCGTGTCGACTGTCGACCGTATAAAAAAATAAAAATAAACATTGATTTTAATCAAACGTTAATCGCCATATACTTGTATATGGGTTAGGTTTGAAAAAATATCCACCAACTGCCGACGAAAAAAACAACAAACGACAAACACACGTAGCGAGTTATACGTTACATAATTATTATTATACAAAATATGATCGGGGATGTATTTGGTAAATATATTGTTTTGAATTCACGCTAAATTTTCCAAAAATGTATCTCGAAAAGATAAAAATATCGCTATTTCTGCACTAGAAAATTTATAAAAGATCAATTTTTGCAGTTTACTCACCTATTGTTGTTTTCGGACAACATGTTGTTTACAAAGAAAAAAAACAAGAAGAATATACCAATTATCGATATAATAATTGGATAATCTAAACTATCTATTTACAAATCAGCTATGTACGTTTATGATTACATTTTCGATCGTATAATGTGGTTGACGAGCGGTTGTGGCTGGTCACAATGGATAACCCACAGAATTTAAAAAGAAAAATACGATTTAAAACACAACAAGACAAATAATATTTAATAAAATAATAATATACATTTATACTCTCATTGACTACCATTCTCCGCATACTTTTGAAATTAATTTTTTCTCCGACTATACAAATAATACGCAATAAATTAAATTATAAAAAGTATACGCTCTAATACACCCCTGACTTTAATATACGTATAATTCGATGAACTCGAAGCAGTTTTAAACTCACTGTGGGCGTTTATGGTCTCGAGTTATTTATATATATATATATGATAATTGTATTATATAATATTATATTTGATATACGAATACTCCACCCACTCGGTGTTTCACTGTTTGGCGCAAAGAAGTGAGAGCATGACCCGCGACATCGCGAACACCATCAAGTGTTAATTTTTATGACCTCCCCATTCCCTTTACCGCCACTTCGTGAGTTCGTGATAACGATAATACCGTGACTGACACAACGGAGCTGAGAAATTTGTTTTAATTAATATTTGCATCAGATGTGGCTAACGGTCTTCTCCAGGACTATCGCGCTCGCGAATAGTAATCGCTAATTAAAAACACCCTCCCGATTGTCGTTATATTTATCTCGAGGAGCTCGCGGCAACGACGGAGGCGGCTGTGGCGTTTGGCCGTGATGTGTTTACGATCGTTTTTTTTTTTTTTGGCGAATCTCGTTTGTGTTTTTTTTGTTTGCCATCGCTACGCGTATATAGAACAACGAAATGTCGTTACAGTAATACAGTATATTATTGTTTTTGAGAAAACGTGACTCACTACACCGACGGTGGTAATCATAATAATAATAATAATAATAATATTATAATTATTGCCAATGCAGTAAAACGGTTGTTTGCGCGTCACACGCCTACGCACCGATGAGATATAAATAATACATCGCCAACAGAGTATCAGACCGCAATAATTATTGCATTATTGTGAAACGCAATAATAAATGTTGTTATTATGTTCTGAATAAATAATAAAAAAAATCCTTCTTATCGTCCAATATATTATACCGTACAATACTATGTTTTCATAAGATATTATAATAAATCAGATTATGAAATGCAACGAGTGAAAAACGCGCACTGTACGGGGTAATTCGAACACTTGTTGTCGCGTTAATAGCGTACCGAGAACAATCTCGATTGGTGGTATACGATACGTCGAATCATAATATTATATTTTTATATACGTCATCTCGAGTTCGGATTTTATTGCGGTTGCGCGCAGTCAAGTTCGATCGTGTCCGAACAGCTGTGCGTCGTAACGATATCGTTGCCGAACATATAGTAATAGTGTTCGTAAAAACACGCCAATATTACGCGAATACCGACTGATAATTGAAGTCACACGATGCAACTGGATAGTTGAATCATTGTTGTGCTCTGGTTAAAAACTGCGGAAGAACTTTATCGATTTATATTGTCGTCAGTCCTAAGCGACTACTTAAAAAGAATCATAACCAGTACAAATCGACTTTATTATATTAACATTATTAATTTCTCAGTGACGATCTCCAGCTGCAGACGGTGCGTCAAGTTCTAAAGTCACCTTTAATCGCGCACGAACCCGAAAATTCTGAAGCGAAATTAAACGCAGGGACGATCGGTTTTGTACACAAAAAATAATTTTGGAGCAACGCGAGACACCCGTTGTCGTTTTGGATATTATTGAAACGATAGCCCGTGGCGCCGGTTCGGGTGCTTTCGGTCGGTCGACCTTAACGAGTGCACACGGATAATACGTTATAATATTGTGATATTAACTTTCGCACATTTTACGGAAATCACGAGTCTCGTTTCGCTAGCCCGCCGCCTAACAACATCGTTCGTGTTTGCTCACGACATACGTATATTATACAACATATATTATTATAAAATATATATAATAGACCGTATTATACTGCGTTCGCGAACGACAGTGTGTGTGTGTGTACCACGTTACACGGATTGGGTTTTGTGGTACGGGGCGAAAAAAAAATCCCATTTAATCAATTCAAAGCTATTAGGTCTTTATTACTCGTACAGGCGGAAGACAAATTATCTACCCTAATTTTCTTTTATACTCGTTCCCCGGTTGTTTTCCGTGCCCCTCGTCACCACCACCACCGCCACCGCCGACGTCGACATCTCTATTATTATTATGTCGGACGCGATTAAAGCTGTATATATATATAAAGTATTTATGTGTGTGTGTGTGTGTGTGTATATGTGCATATTATAAACACAGATAATCTAGCGACGTTTGTCGCGCGCGCGCGCGAGAGGAGCGTCGGTTTCACGGTGGGTTCTGCAGATATTATTATATTGTTCTCTGTCGTGTGTGCGCGGACGGGGTGCAAAAAAATAATAATAATATATATATACACACATACGTACAGAAATAAAGAGAGGACGAAGGTGAGTTATGATATAAACCGCCCAGAAATATGATTCATATAATAATGAATAGAAACGACCCTAATACGCGGCGGCGTTCGGCGGAGGGGTTCCGCGATCCGTATACACACATACGTGTGCGTGTAATAAAGCGGTGGCGGATGCGAAATGACAAATATCGTACAATGCGACGGACATGCGTACAGATCATTAACGGTGCCTAGCCGCCAAACCGATCCACGTCGCGCGAAGGCGAGGGGGTGTTGTAAGTCCACACACACACACACACACACACACATACACACGCTGCACCATACCCCTTTACTGCGTGCATATTATGTATAATATGTATCGACAACGAATACGTCCGACAATTGTGTCGCACGTGTATGTGTGTGTGTTTAAACAGCTCTACATTATTATTATTTATCAGTCGTCGACGGGGACTTTAGACGAGTTGAGAGTGAGAGTGAAAGAGAAGGAAAAAAAGAGATCAACACACCCCTGGCGGCCCGTTGTTATCGGCGAGGAGGTGTGTGCGCGAATTCCGATTTTTTTTTTTTCACTCTGCCCCCGTTATAATAAAGTTGTTTTTATACATTATGTATATAATATTATTGCGGTGATCTCCCCGCCAGCCGACCATAAACGACAGCGATAAAAAAATAAAATAATGATCGTAAAACGAAATCATTGTGTCGGGCGCGAAAAATGTGACCGTGACGAGACGTCGCGCTTACGATGGTATATATATTGTATACGATTAATTGTGAATTAATTCTCCGGCGACGGCCTTTGTCGGGATTTGCCGGCCGCCGCGCGTATAATAATACATAGAATAAAAGATAGACAATGCATGGAATAACGAGCTTAACGTCGAGATTAAAAGACGTGCGTGCGAAAGGGTGTAACTTTAAATAGATCTGCGACTGCAATATTGTAAACGGACTCGATTCTGGTCGTATTGCTGTGGCACAGCAGATATATGCACTGCGCTGATTGTCATATTATAATGTTATTGTATTGTTATTATTATTATTAGTGACGTTTTAATTGAAGCGTTTGCGGGGACGTCTACAGTAATGGGGTGTGACGCGAAGAATATTATCACGTGCGTAATAATAATAATAATATGTACGTTATATGTAAGGACTCGAAATAAATATATTCGAACCATCGTTGTTCGATTAAAAGTTGAAGAGACAAAAGACTAAAACAAATGCATTCATAGATTTAGCACGAGAAAAATTTAGAAACGCGTCATGGACAGTGGCGTAGCCAGGATTTTGGAAGGGGGGAGGGGGGTTAAAGTGAAAATTATAAACTTAGTTTTTTACTATTTTCGTTATGTTTGTTGCCCAATTGAACTATTCAAGAACAAAGTTTAGGCATAAACTTGTGAAAATATCATATTATAATAAAATATTATAAACACCTCAATATTGAAATAGAATTAATGAAATATACAATAATATAAATAATACATTTATTTGATGTGGAAATACAGCGTCGGGGGGGGGGGGGTTAAACACTCAAACCCCCCTGTCTACGCCACTGGTCGTGGATAGCTTTTATTATTATTTTACAATAACATACCGCAATGGATTAAAACAAACGACCAGGTTTATCTAATAAACGGTACAACGAGGTGTTTCGCACTTACCTGAGTCTCTTTCACTCCGATCCTCTGCGGACGCCGTCATTAATTCTCCAAATGCCGCGTCCAAATTCAGCGGCTCTCTCTTGCCCAATAACAATTCTTCTGAAGCTTTGACTGTTTGCGTCAGTTCGTAAAATATCTAAGAATAACAAACAAATAAAGGTTATAAACAAAATGTTCCGATGCTGTGCAGCAGAGACGAATATAATATTAATGCCGATGATGTATCGTTTACCTGTCCGGCCAACAAGAACGCTCGGACGTTTTGTCTATTGCAATCGTTCGTGGACCGAACGAATTTCAGCCAATTGCAGATTTCGATTGTGCCGTCCAAATATCCAGAGTACCCGGCGATACGAACCTGTGGACGGAAAGAAAAAAAAAATCGTAAATCACGTGTTTATTATTTGCGGTAAGACTTATTGCGCGCGGCGCGTCGGATGAGCGGGAAATGTCAGGCGAGGCGGGTAGTTTTATAAGGCGTCTCGCTTGCTTTCCTCTTCCAGCCGCGACCATAGAGATTGTAATTAATTACTCGAGCTTTAGGACAACTTGGCCATTAAATGTGTATACGCAATCTGCGGTCGTTAGGTCTTCGCGCGCTCCCTGTCTATCCTCTATACACTCTTATTCACGTCCAAACATAAATCACCATCAGCGGGGTCGGGGTCTGAAAAGAATCGTATATAAAGGAGAAACCGCTAGCGACGTTTCGACATGCACCCTTTGCCCAAGAAAAAGATGAACCCTTTGCGGGTGTTAATTGATGGTTGCGGCGAAAAAGATCCCCGGATATATATGTACGTGTGTTTGTGGGTCCCAGACGAGGGGGTCCTTATTAATTAAACGTGACACATTTGGAGGACCTTTTTTCGGCGTACACTTTGCAATTAGCATCACTAGCCGAGACGATAAAAGTCAAAACTCGAATTATTATTATTGTTCACGAGCAGCGGAGAAGGTTCAATTTGTATTAGTTTAAAAACTAAGGCGCTCGATGCGGCAATCACTAAACACGGATTAACGACTAGAGGTCGCAACCGATTACACTCGGGCGTTGTACTTGTTATTATCATTTTTTTTTTGTCATATTCTTCGTTTGCGTACAACGATTTAAATTTAAATTGTTTTTTCTACGATTCGTATGTTGTTATTCGACCAATAGACATTTCTAAAACGGATTTCGCAACATACGACAAGTTTGCGCGATACGTGAAATTGGGAATACGATTTATAGGGCGGTAAAATATTAAAAGCGTTCTGAAAACTGAAACTAGATATAATACGCGGTAGTAAAAATTTGAATAATCTATTGTGCAACAGAGTCGGCCCGAAATCGTTAACCGTTTGTCCTATTAACCATTATTGTTTTCACCGGTTCGAAACTGTAATTCGATCGTTTGCAAAACACGTTACGAGGTCTACATTATGATTTTTACTTTTAATTTATATTTTTATTTTGTTGTCGCGTTACGGTGAAAAAAAAAAATTGAAAATTCTATCTCCGACGACGACGGATCGAATTTATTTAATATTCGACAGATGATTAAAAATAATTTAAATAGGTGTTTTCTGTTTTTAATGGGCGTCGTTTTGAATATCCTATGCCATATCCTGGATATAATGAACAAACAGCTCCGATTTTAATATTTAATTATTATTATTTACTATTAAATAATCCACGTTTGGGTGTTCAGACGTCAATTATTATGTACGTGTATTATATTATGCGTTAAGTTTATACGAGTGGCCACTTGGGCGCCCAACATTAAATAATAAAATAATAATCGTACCCACTGATAACGCGCTTTCAAATCGTTTAATATTCGTACGGCCTTGCATAATACATAATATTATAATAAACACTACACGTAATATAATGCATATTATAAAATGTATAGTAATACATAAAGTATTGTATGTGTATCACACGCACGCACGCTCGGGGCGGAGTGAGTGCTGTAGTACTGTAAGTGATCAGTCAAAACGGCGGCGCGCGTTAAAAATTTGCAATAATATTTGCATATCGGTCGCGTTTTTTACGTCTATATTTTCGCACGCAATTAATACTTCATTCACGCGCGGACTTGATCGATGCGAGCGCGGGCTTACAACAAGCGTACGGGGTGCAAAAAAATAATAATTTTTTTTTTTAATAAAATGAAAAAAAAATCGTTGACTCGAACGGCTCTAAATATTATAATATAATATACACGATGTGCAAGTACACCACTATACGATATTATTATTACCACTATACTATATATTATTATAATTGTATGTCGGGGTGAAAACATAATGCGCGTCCCATTGACACCTCGCCGCTGCCTTCATCATCGTCGTCGTCGTCGTCGTTTCTCGCTCGAACGTCAAACACAATGGCAAACATCTATATTATTGTATTATTATTATATTATTCAGTGGCCGCCCGGTGGCAGATGTCCAACACGATCAGTTTGCGTACACACACACACACACACATGCAAATCTCGTATTATAATAGTAATAACTAATAACAATATATTATTACGTGCGCGGGATCGAAATCTTTGTCGCGTGAATAATAATTATTATTAAATAACGCGATGATAAATCGTACCGTCTTGGAGAAATCAATTATCACGTATACAACATAATAAAATCGTCGTTAGCGCCCCTGCGGGTCCAACGAGCGTTGTACGTGTGATGTATTATAAGACTTGAGGTGTCTTTATCGTGCCATCCATCATTTAACGGGTCGTATTGGATAACCTGCAGTGTTTTTATCGACCGAATGCACCGCGGTGGTTCATCTTTCTTAGTTACCACGTTAACAGGTGTTTCCGTTAAGTCGAAAAATATTCAACTTGTCAGTCCTAATTTGGTTTTCAATATAGATACTGATAAAATGTTTAGAAAATGAAAAGTTATACAACGGCAAACTTCTAACCAGGTTCTAAGTATGTATACTAAGCCAATACGATCGATTCAATAATAACACAAAATAACCGCGGTAGAGTGTCAAGACTGTTTCTCGTGCAGTATCGTGTAGTTGTACGTACCAAATAACAATGTTGAAGATATGCTAGCCTTAGGATATTGTGGTATAGGGACTGCAACAACCATTCGATTTCATAAAACTGTAGTAAAACGACGAATGAAACAAAAATATCATACGTATCGCCGCTCAACGAGTCTGACCTTTGCGAGAGCGCGAAAATGTCTACACCGCTGCTCGCGTAGGTACAACAGTGTATCACTCACAATCATATACTCATATACATATAATATATATATTATATATACATCTACAGTATATGTACAGATATATATATATTTTAATATGCGTACGAGAGAATTTTGGCAAAAGAGGAGGCAACGGGGTTGAGCTTATGTTTACTATAATAATAATAATGCTACCGCGGCGGACGACGATCCTCCTGCGGCTGTTTGAGTTTTTGATGAATTTTTAAACGACCTCTGTCCACGAGGTTTTATATAATTTAATATTAAATCTCTTCTCCTGCGCTATGCGCGCTTGCGCCCAGTCAGCCGGCCCTTCTTCTACGCCCCGCCAATACTGTCCGCCACGCCGCGGGATTCGGTTCCGGCGCAGCCGACGGCACTGCTGCAACGTTATTGCCGTTTTATCAAAAACCAACTTGTGAATAATTGCGTTGTTTACATATATTATATAGCGTTATATACTGTAGGTTAGTAATGTTACGCATGCAACGGTAGCCTTTTTGTGTTTGCGCTACGCACCGCGAATATTATACTCTTGCAGCTCGCCAACCTTTATTTTGTCCTCGAGGGCGCACGTGCTGCTCGTTTTTCACTCATCGACGATAAATTATGTATGTGTTTAGTGCCTACTCGTTATCCTATACTTCCGCCGTTGTCTGGCATAATTTTTTGCTATCCAAAATCATCCATTGCAAAAGAAAACTCGAGCATAGTTCTTTAACGCGTCGACTAGTAATTTATATAGTTTATCGACTCCATTTTATACTTCATTTTTCACTATATACAAATTCAACTCTTTTCATTACTATCATATTGATTGTACCTTAAAAAATTTAAGTAATTTTTCATCTTTGTTTTTCTAAACGTTTATGAATATATACTACATTTTTAATTGTCAACATTACTTAAAATTTTAAATGGCATTCTATTTTTTTTTTTTTAATTGTATGTATTATTAAAGAGCAAAGTTAAAAATAATATAATACTCCAGTATAAATATATTAGTGATCTAAACGATTTAATAAATTATATTTTGTAGAAGACGGAATTAGAACTTACTATTTATGGATATATATTTATACGCGCATAATTACAATATATTATAAATACCTTATTCAAAAGTCTATAGATAGTAATAAAATGTCTGTAAACAAATAATCGCTTTCAAATTTATCAAAAATCATATTGTATCACGTTTGTCTACATCATGGTAGAATATAGGAATAAATAATATTGTTTAATTAAACTTTTGTTAGTAGGTAATTTTGACTGCAGTTTAAATATTGAAAATAGTAAAATGTGGGTTTGATTAAAATTCGTATTTGTATGCGTATTAAACATATTTTTAAGAAATATATTTAAATTTAATTTAATAAACTTAAAATTTTTTATATAATATTAGCCCATACACAAGAAATTCAGTGCATGATTTTCGAATCGCGAGAATTTGACCCCCCTTCCTATTGTAAATATACGCCTAACTTAACCGATGTGTATGCTTCGCGTGATACATTCACGACAATAGTAAGACTGTACAGCAAGCCTACAAGGGTGTTATTAGTATATAAGGGATGCTAGATGTATAAATAGTTAAGTGTACGCATTATTATTGTTAACAAACAGGTTCTGTTAACAACGGTAGTCGGACACATCATAATATATCATGCGTTCTTATCGGAGTATAATATTGTGGAATAGTTAATAATTTTATTATTGTTATTAAAGAAAAAAAATGATGACGAGAGTTAAAAAACTAGTCCGCGTGTTTTCGATATCACATTAATAAATACAAGCGGTATATTTATATAATATATACATATATATACACACACACACAGTATGCACATTATATTATACACTTATATAATTTATATAGTGACTTGACAATAAGACAAAAAAGTCGCAATTTATTTAAAATAAATTCAAGCAAAAATCGAAAACGTTATTGATTTTTTTCTGTTTTAAGAAAAATACAATATCTGCAATTTCGTTATTTTTTCATTCATTGCTACTGCCGTGTAATTATAATTACTGAACTCTTGTCACCGCGTCCTGTACACGCTCACGGAACGCACACGTGTACGTAGGTCACGGTCAATAAAACATCGCGTTTGCAATATAATTATACTTAAAATA